GAGATTAAAAGAATTTAAGAACGAAAGTCTACGTATTCTGTAGAATAACTTTTATAATATACTGTATAATTTTAAATATTTTGATAAAAATAATGAACAAGAATCATCTTTTAAAGCTATAATATAAACAATAAACATTAGACAAAAGACAAATTTGACGTTCAACAAACGAACAGTAGCAAATTTTGTTCGTAATAAATTATTTCTTACACCACAGTCAGAATTATGTTTGTCCAGCTTCTTGACGTCACGAAGTAGAGACATCCCGTGGTAAAAAACAGAACTACGGCTACGGAATCTTTCCGTAATTAGACGCCAGTGTGCTTGACGGTTTCGGCATGCTGCTTGCTGTTATTCAAAAAAGAATTGGATATAGCGATGTACAGTACGTCATAGTGCATGACCATAGTTATGGGCAGTTCACTTTCAACAGTGTTCTGCCGAACTCTCTGCACTTTAGGTAAACCATTTGTAATTATTTATCGTTGCTATGCAAGCTATTTAGTCCCTGCATCGGGCCTTTTAACTGGTTTTACATAAATGTTGCTAATAAACTGGATATTGAAGTATATTTAAATTTTATCGTTCTAACACGAACAGTTTTATTTAAAAAGATCATTTCTAACTTGCTTTCTTATCCATTTCTATCAGTTAAATATATCATTTTTCTCCCTTTCGATTTCGTGTTATAGGGAAAACAGTGGGGCAGTGCTTAAATAATATATATATACGAGGGTACTTGTTGTGTAAGATGTTTTTATTATTCTATACATTCAACTTAAGTCATATTGAATATTAAAATATCTTTAAAAAAAAACTAAAATTAAAAAATAATCTATAATCAGTTTACAATATAACTCAATGCTTTCATAAACTTTTGTATGTTCTTGTAAATTAATTGTATTAATTATTAATGAATTGACATTATTTTGCAAGAATTTAGGATATTTTTAAGGAATTTATTTAGAAAATATATTTTGCAGAGGCTTCTAAATTTTTATTTAGAAAATCGAGTGAAATTTTTGAAGAAAATATTAGGAAAAAGGAATTTGAATTCGAAGTAATTTCAGTCAGAAGTGATTCACTTCGAGGCATGTGTTACAATAAATCAAGATTTTAAGACTAACAAATTATTATTCAAAAAGTTGTAATTTTATTTTAAGAATAAATAATGCATTATAACAGAATACCTCTTTGAATATAAATAATAAAATATGACAACAGCATAACAGAAAACTTTTAAAAAAATGTATTCAAATTAACTAACTGATGCACAGAAATTCATTACTAATCAGCAACAGAAAGATATTTTTTGTACATCTGTAAATAAATGAACTATAGCAGGGTCATTGACCCCTGCTATATCAACCCCAGGGGTCATTGACCCCTGGGGTTGATATAGCCAAAGTGGTCTATATCAACCCCAGGGGTCAATATAACATTATTGGGGGATTGATTAAAAGACTAAAACTTACAAATTTTGAACCGAATATTACTAATGATTATCAAGCTTATCCGTCTTATTGATTGTCAGTTACAAAAATTATTATTAAAATATGTACAATAAATGTAAAAAATGTAAGATTAAAAGATATATATTAAAATACTAACAGCTTTTTTTGCTTGTAACACAAAGTTTTTGGTGGGGGTTGATGTGAGATTTCGAAACGACGATCAAAATAGTTTGGCGACAATCAAAATAGGGGCTTGACGATCAAAATAGTTTGGCGACCCCTGAACTATAGTTTTTCTACACAAAATACATGGAATTTATAAAAGTTTTTACCACCTTAAGCAACTCCAAATCTATATTAGAGTCTGTTGCATCACCATTGGAACTGTCTGAACTGTTGACATCCATCTTGCTGATCAGGTGCTGTTTGGCACGAGCAGCCGCTAGATGTGCATACTGAACGGGGCTGGGTATGGAGATGCTGCGAGTGCATCGAACATAGATGTGGCACAGGTAATATGACAGTTTCTGCAATTCGTCTGAAGAGAAGTCATTGTCATCCCAGAGTACTGTGTAGTGAGCAGGACGACTAGTGCCTTGAATGCCATAATGACTGCACAAGAAAAAGTCAAAATCAGTTGGATGGGTTATGCCATTATCTATGATGGTGCCGGGAGGAACGTTACCCGCTTTTCCAACTCTGTCATTGTAATTCTTCGGCATCATTCTTGTGTGGTGTCTTTTTCCTACCACAATGTAAGTTATTCCTGGCTGATAATCTTCTTCCAATTCCATACATGACTGTCTTATCTGTGATATTTCTTTGTTTTGGACTTGACTAAATTCACCCTCACTCACTCCATCACGATAAAAGATGATCTTGATGGGTTTTTGTTTTGTGTTTTTGTAAAACTGTTTTAATATTTCTTTTACCATTTCTTTCAGTTGTACTATTATCTCTATATGTCTTTTGTCTTTGGTGGGCTGCTGAATTCTCACTGCTGCAGCATAACGAGAAGGATGAGAATCAAGACTTCCCACTACCGCAGCTATAGAGTAAGAAGTCTTATCTCCGGGTGATGGATGTGTGACATCGGCACCAAAAATAATTACTGGTTTTTGGAATATTTTAGGTTTTTTGTATAAACTGAGTCCACAATTTATGCCACCCATTTTTGCATTTATTTTTTGTAAAATATTATAAATTGTTGTATCTCTGCATTTTTTCATAGTATTTTCTTTAACACACTGAGTCTTTAATCCTATTTCTGTTTCTGC